GCCGTTAGGAACACTCACCATCCAGACCACAAAGGGGCAGGAAAATCTTAGGTGCATCTTCACAGCTGCCTTAAAAGGTCAAAATGTCCCATGGTAGTGGGTGAGATTTGGGATCCAGAATTTAAGAGGGTTTCGTTTGAAGAATGTTAAGAAAAATACAGAGAGCCAGGCAGGCGTGGCGGCACATGCCTATAATCCCAGCTACTTAGGAAGCAGAGGCAGGAGAACTGCAAGTTCAAGACCAATAATAGTAAGTTAGCGAGACCATATCTTAAAATTAATAGAAATAATTGCCCCCTCTTTACGCTGGGGTGACTGCAGGGGTCTCCACTGGCCTGTCCAAGCCACTTCCAGGACACCCTCCACACTGGAGGCTCCACGGTGAGGCAAGGGTCTTAAAACTCTGCTCTGAGTTTTCCTTCTGTACTTTCAGTCTCTCAGTGATTCCTGGTCATGTCCTGGCCACCTCCACACTGGCCCTGCCCTCCCCCGGTGTCCTGTCATCACCTCCTGGCTCTCTTTTCTTCTGGCCAACTCCAGCCAGACCCTCAAAGCTGAGGTTTGGCCTGCTTCTCTCCTCAGGCTTCCCAACCGCTTGCCAAGACCCCTCTGCTCCCGAGCCACCAGAGTCATGTCATAAGCAGCGTGAGGGCTGGGCCCTATCCTGCTCAGCCTGGCATTGCCAGTGCCAAGAGCATTCTTTCACATGACACTTGGCACAGTCCCAAGGACCTGATGAATATCAACTGTACCAGTCTCTTTTCTGTTGCAAGTAACACCACAGAGTGGTTTTAGCTCACAGGTCTGGTCCATGGTGAAGGCCCATGTGTGGTGATGTCCTCCCCCCCAGAGACCACAGGTCAGGGCAACACATGCCAGAGACAGGGCCACAGGTGTGCATCTCATGATCTCTCCTTTCAACAAAGCCACATGGATTCGGTCATGGGGGCTCCATCTGAGGACCCTATCTAATAATCCTAATCACCTCCCAAGACCCTGTCTCTCAACATCACGGTCAGATTAGATTTTACTTTGATACTGCAAAAATGGGAATTGAATGTCAGTGCATGAAACTGGGCATTGAATGTCAGTGTACACTTAAATCATTCTTACACCATAGCATTGGCTTATACTGATATAGGGGATTAAAATTCCCAACTGAAAGATGCTTGGGCCAAGTTTGTTCTTCTAAACTGAAGAATGAATTTTAGGAACAATGGAGGTTAAAAGCAGAATGTATTTACTGAGGAAGGAAAGCTTCTGTCTGAGAGGCACAGAAGGGGGGCTCAAGTGGGTTACCATTGGAACCTGTGTCTTCCAGGAATTTTTAGAGTAAAACCATGTGGTGAGACAGGTATAAGGCAGAGAATATGGGAACTCCCTTAGGTGGGCATGAGGTGGGGCAAAACTAGGGTCAAGCAATGAGATTACAAGCACAATTGCTCAGGTAAAATTGATTAAATCCAGGACTGAGTGGAGAAATGAGTTACATAGCAAGTGGGCACTGGCAAGCAGGCATGAATACATGACAGGGGCTTTTCCTGTAGGGGCCTGGGTTAGTGGCTTCCAGGTGTTAAGGTGAGGGACTCATTTAGAACATCAATTGTGGAACTGGTGAAATAGCTCAGTGGCCTAAAGCGACTGCTTAAGCAAACTTAGGCAAATGTGAAGGGACCATGGGTTTGATCCCCAGCACCACATGCCACACCAGCCCTGCCCACAGGGCCAGCTGAGCTGGCCACAAAAAAAAAAAAAAAAAAAAAAAAATTGTGAATGCCTATCTTTAGGGAGGTATGTGACTGCATTTGTTGACTATTTTGTCTTGAGGTCAGGCCCACAGCAGGGGTGTCTGTCTCATTCAAAGTTGCAAAGTCATCTTGTCTTTACACTGTCTCCTCAAGGGCCTATCCATGACTGCCTATATTTCTATCTAACTGAGCTGCCTGCAACAGTACAATCCCCATAACATACAGGTGTTAGGAAAGTGTGCAATCAAGTATTCATTCAATGGTACACTGAATGTCTAGTAGGTGTCCTGGACAATGTTAGGTGCTAGCATTTAGAAGTACAGGAGACACACATTTCTGGCCTCAGAGAGTGAGCCAAATGTGGGTGCTAAACAGATCTGTAATATGTGAAGCAGGGATAAGAGCTATAAAGAATAAAGATGGATAAGGGGCTAGGGAGATAGCTCAGTAGAATGAGCGCTTGCCTGGCAAACTCAGGGTGCTGAGTTCAATCCCTGGTTCCACAAAAAAAAAAAAAAAAAAAAAGAATAAAGCTGGATAAAGGCATGAAACATGACAAGATGTCAGCTCAGAGGAAATGGTCTGGCAAAGCAATCTGAGGAGGGGACATCTGGGCAGATGCCTGAGAGTGAGTCCCATGGGTGTGTGTGTGTGTGTGTGCATGCATGCATGTGAGGGAGGCAGGGTGCAGGCAGAGGAACAGCCGAGGTCAGAATAAGCCCAGTCTGCACAGCTCATGAGATGCTGGAATGCAAGGATTGGGGGGTGACAGATGGGAGGCCCTCAGATAGTGAGCCCAGGGTCAGGGCAGGGAGGGCCAAAGCAGTCAGCTGAGGATGCTGGAGTGGCTTAAGCTCCATTGCAATCCCTGGTAGCCGGTGAGACTTCATCTGACCCAGCTTCTGAAGATCACTCTGGCTTTTGCACAGAGAATAGACTTCGAGGCACAATACTGAAGCAGGTAGCCCAGTGGGGACAGTGGTCCAGATACTGACCATGGCCTGGCTGCCCTCACTGGGGCAGGAAGAAATGGTCAGACAGTGCGCCTTTTGCAAGCAGAGCAGGAAGGATGAACTGCTGGCAGCCATGGAGGGTAGGAGAGAGGCAGCGATCTTTCTGGGGTTAGGGCTTCAGTCACTGCTGGGCAGGTGAAGCCCTTGTTTTGGAAGAATGAACATTTTAGGGGTTTGGCAGGAAACGAAGCATTCTGTTTTAGATCTCTAAGTTTCAGTTGCTGCCAGGATTTGGTTTTGTCTTCTATGAAATGAGGATGATTATTGTATAGATTTGTAGGAAGAATCCAGTGGACTCTTTCTCTTTGAAGCTATGTAGGCAGAAGATCCTATTTTTAGTCGCACTGAAGGGAGGATCGGGTTTCCTTTAAAAGAACACAAGCAAAACTCCAACTTGATCCTGCAGCATGTGCACAGTTCTCTCTCACATCAAGAAGCCGTGCTGGTAACACGCGTCCTCTGTTTACCCAGTGTTTATAACAGCATTTATATGGGGTACAGGTACAGGTTAGTATTTACATGGAATACTTAAATAAGCTATATGGAATAAATGAATAATTTACATTACAGGTTGTCTACTTTTATGTAGAACATTTCTGTAGACAGCTTCATAGAATCCTCTGAGGTCTATACTATGCCCCTCATTTTGCAGATGTCACACAAAAAGGTGAAGGAATGCACATCCCGGGTCCAACAGCGGGGTCCAGCTCGCAGATCTGGTCCGCTCGCACTCTGCCCAGGTTCACAGTTGCGGGCATCCTTGACACGTGACCGTGGACCCGCCCCTCCGACACCACGCCCACACCCCTGTAGGGGAGGCGGTCCTGCCTCTGCGCAGTAGCGTCTGGTCCACGCCTGCGGGTCTTAGCTCTCCTCAGACCATCCAGTGCACTCTGTCCTTTCTTCCTCTATTCTGAGGTCAACTTCGTGCCCACCTTGCCACACCCAAGCCTTCCTGGTCTCCGCTCCCTTCATGCTCCTGTCCCCCACCAGCTGTTACAGGTCGCTTTAGCGCGTGCACGATCACGACTCCCACCCGCGCAGAAGCAGACCACGTGCCACATTGAACTGCGCGCCTAAGTTAACAGGAACAGGACGCGGCCCCTGACCTCTTAGAGTCACTAAGCGAGAGGACAGGTCTCCAGGTCTTCCAGACTTGCGTCCCTCCTGCGATCGAGTGGGTGCCAAGCCAGCACTGAATAAGCAGCCGTTCGATTACTTCACAAACGGCAATTGAGCATCTACTGCACTCCAGGTGGCCGTGGGGAGAGGTGCGGAGATGCCGGGAGCTCAGAGGGGCACAGGGTCCGCGCAGGCCCCCTGCTTCTTTCCGTTCCGGGCTGGTGGGGCCACGGGGGTGCAGCAAATGCCGCTAGAAGCGGAGAAGCAGTGGCCAGGGGAGGGCGTGGCACCTGGCCAGCGCTGCACTTCTGCTGGGAAGCCAGGCCAAGACGCACGTGCTGCCGGTGTTTGGAGACCCGACCCAGCTCGGGCCGCCAGCGCCGCGCGGTCACAGAGGCACGAGGGGGAAAACGGAGCCGGCCTAACCTGGCTTGCCAGGAAGGCTGCCGGACGAGCGCGCAAGGCCGGGAGAGGCGGCTGGCGGTTGGCGCCTGCTGGTTTAGAAGACAAAACTCAGGGGCCCAGCGCCCAGACTCCGGATTCCAATCCCAACCTTGTTGCTCATTTGTGTCACTTTCATCCTTCCCGGGGCTCAACTCCACCACCGGTGAAATGGGTTTGCAATAATACGAGTCAACCGGCGGCTTAAAGGGCAAATGCCTGGAAAGCTTCCCTAGCGTGGTGCGCCGCACGTAGGAGCCCTCCCGCAGCCGAGGCTGTAATTACCCGTTGCTCACACCGCGCTGGGTCCCTGCTCTCCCCGGGGCCAGGGCGCCCACAGACCTCTTCCAAGGGACAGGCTAGCAGCCTAATAGGGCGCGCCCGACTTTGATAGATTTATTTGCTGGCTTGGGGCGGGGCTTGGTGCGAAGCCTAGGGAGGCGCGGCTAGAGCAGAGAAAGGGAAGACGCAGAGCGGCCGGAGGCGAGTGGGGCGGGGCCGGGGCGGAGCCAGGCTGAGGTCGGGCGGGCGCAGCGCGCACCCAGCAGCCCGCGAGCTGGCGGGCGGGTAGGCAGGCAGGCGGGCGGGGGTGGAGCGCACGGCCAATGGTGCACGCGGCTGAGGCGAGGGCGGTGCAGGAACCCAGGCCGCTGACAGCCTAACTCGCCAACTCCGCCCTCATCTCCGCGGGATCCGGGAGCTCTAGCCAGCCTGGGGCCGAGGCCGTCTGATCCGCGAGTGAACATGGCAGAGTGAGGTGGCTGGCGCCGGCTCGTAGTCGCCACTGCGCGCGCTGCTGGCCGCATCCCCAGTTCACCTCCTGGTGGCTGCAGGTTAATTTCGGAACCCAGGGCAGGGGAGACAGTGAGCGGGTGCTCTGGCCGGGTAGAAACGCGCGTGCGACTCGCCGGCTGCTGGAAGGACGCGGGAGAGCGGCGGTGTGCGGCTGCGGCGACGTACCGTGGGGATGCACGGGCCATGGAGCGGCCTCAGCGGGGCGCGCTGAGCCGGCTGGCGCTGCAGCGGGGGCGCTGCCGAAGCCCGGGGTCCAAGCGGCTTCGGGGTCTCGGGTGTCCTAGGGGAGTCGCCGCCGCTGCCTCCACGAAGGACAGGAGCCTCGAGTGGCGGACACTGCCGCAGTCGCCGCACTGAGGCGCCCGAGCCTGCTCCGCCGACAGTTCGGTGCGCTCTCGGCCCGCGGGCGCCTTGCCGGTTGCTCGGCGCGGTCGGCTGCCGGAGCCCGGTGCCGAGCAGTCTGGAGAGGTGCGCGCGCCTGTGCGTCTGGAGATCTGGGCAGAAGCAGGAGCCGGCGGACCCGAGCAGCCATGCTTCCCGGGGTGGGCGTGTTCGGCACCAGTCTCACTGCCCGTGTCATCATCCCGCTGCTGAAAGACGAGGGCTTCGCGGTAAAGGCGCTGTGGGGCCGCACGCAGGAAGAAGCGGAGGAGCTGGCCAAGGAGATGAGCGTCCCCTTCTACACTAGCCGCATCGACGAGGTGCTGCTGCATCAGGACGTGGACTTGGTGTGCATCAACCTGCCGCCGCCTCTCACCAGGCAGATCGCTGTCAAAACCCTGGGTGAGTGACCCCCTCTCCCTCCTCCCTCCAAGCTTCTCCCCTCGCTGCCTTTCTTTTGCGCTCTCCACACGCCAGAAGCGTACACTGCATTTGCGTGCCCCCGGGATGTGAGATCCATATCCCACTCGGAGGTCCCCTTCTCTAGCCCCTGGCCTGTCCCGCATCCTCCCTTCCCCTGGCTCTGCTTGGACGCACCAACTCGCGTGTGGCGCGGAGGCCGGAGGAGGCGTCGGTCCCGGGATGCGATCAGAACTGAAGCTAGGTGGCTCCTGGGAGAGAAGAAAGTCTTCAGTTGTGTGCGCAGCACCGAGTGTGTTTGTGTGTGCGCACCTGGGAGAGGTGAGCACCAGACCAGAAATGCCTGAATAAAGGGCCGCACACGTGTTTTGGGTTTTCCTGAAGCAACAGTACAATACCTGATTGTCAGCAGCTGGGGCGCCATACTAGGGTCGTCGCTTCCATCCTGAAAGTTTCCTGTGAGATAAGAGATGTGACAATTGGGTGAAATTATTTCATCTGTGCCAGAAGCAAGGACTGTGGGAGTGGTTGGACGGAAGGGGTGTCTGTTAGATCATTTTCAGAGGCTTTATAGGTTAGTAAAGATTGGTTTGATAAAACCGGGAGAATTTAGCTTTGAGTGTGGCCTCCCTGGGGTTGTCTTCTGCACCGATTTGGAACTGTGAATCTTTCATTTTGAGGGCATGAGCATGATAGATCCGGAGGCCTGGGTGCTTTGTTTTGGAAAGGCCGAACTCTGCCAGTTTCCTTTGGAAGAATGGAGTGGTACCTCCTTAATTCCCTGCAGACATAGTCCTGAGGTATGGTGGTGACCGGCAGACTTTGAGTTTGCTGACCCCACCATCCTGCCCACACCCTCCCAGGCTCTTCTGGCACAGGTAGCAGCATCCCCCAGTGGGGCTCAGAGGAGAGAGGCGTTCATGTTTTGTCAATCACTGTTCTCCTGCATACCTAAAACAGTCGCGGGAAGACCACTCACTCCTTACTATACCAGGACATTGGCTGTAATCACCTTTGAAAGTTGAAATTTTTATTGGTGAAGAAAAGGACAGTGCTTCTAGAAAGATGGAATGGGGCCAGGCCTGTTGGTGCACACTTGTAATCTCAGCACGCAGGTGGTGGCTGAGGCTGAAAGATTTTGTGAGTTCAAGACCAGCCTGGACTACATAGCAAAACCCTCTTTCAAAAAGACAAAAAAAAAAAAAAAAAAAAAAGAGGAAAAGAAGAAAAGAAAAGGGGAATGGGATGTCTGGTAGGGCTCCTGAAGGGGTTGCTCAAGGTTGTCAGCTTTAACACAAATCAAGCTTTTGGCCTTTGTAGTCTGGCTGCTGTGGCCTTGAATTGAATGTTATTCATTACATTGTGGGAATTTTTTTTTTTTCTTCTTCTTCGTCGTCATGAAACATTTATGTTGGGTAGCTAATTCACATGGAATCTGTGGCTGTCAAATAGATTATAACCAAGCTATTGTATATATGTATTAGGGCAGTGAGTATGAACCTGGCTCCTTGAGCCTGGACTGGGCCTATCAGAAGGGCCATGTTGGAGCACCACTTCTCCCTTACATGGTGGCACTGCCCTGGGGCAGACCCAAGAGAGGGAAAAGGACGTTCTTGTGTTCTGAGCATCTCTGGCCCTTTGGCTATGAAAGTCCTTGGGGCATCTTGCTTCAAGAGCTGTGGTCTAGATTAGGATAGTTCCTCTGGTCTTGTTTTCAAATATCCCTGTGCAGACAAGAGTTGTAGCTCAGAGGCAGAGGGCTTGCCTGGCATGCACAGGGTCCTGGGTTTGATCCCAGTACCATTGACAGTATGAGTTACTTGTTCAGAACCAAGTGTAAAAGGCATACAGACTTCATTTAATAATTATGACTATTGGACCTTGAGGGTGAGGTAGAGCACTTGCCTAGCATGTGCAAGAACCTGGGTTTTTTAGTTCCTAGCATGCACTTGCATGTGCGCTTGCACACATACACAGGAGAAAAGTATGACACATAGGGTTTTGTTCATATTTTCATGGTAGGTTTTGGCCTTCCTTTTCCTTAAGGCCTCTTTTTGTAATTTAAAGTACTATGGTAGTTTGTGATTACAGAAAACATGGACGCACTAGACTTCCTTTAGATGTGGCCAGAGCTTTTTAGTCTTGTCCTCATCTTCAGTGTCCCTGGAAAACTGCCCAGATGGGGTTGTCCAGGGCTGTGCCTTTGATGACAGAGGGGGTGGTTGTCTTGATTGGCTTCACAGTTGTGGTTAGAGGCGCAACACACACAACACAGGAAGTAAAAAACCCCAACAGTTATCAGGGTGGCCTGGCCGTTGAGAGTTTGTAGATATTGGTGTTTGACTGGCATTGAAACCAGCCAACTTTTGACCAGTCCTGGTGAATTGACCTTCTTTAGGTAAAAGCCTGGGTTTTGAGTTGTTTGCTCAAGAAAGGACATCAATCTGTGGTCATCAGTCTGTATCCATAACTGGTCCCAGGCCAGTGAAAGGAAGGTCTCATTGGATGGGACGGTAAAAATGAGACATTGAGTGAACTGAATCATACACATCTTCCTTATGTTTCTGGAAATTTCCTTGAAATAGCTGCCTCAGTGTTCCTGGCGTTTCACTGTAGTAGACAGACTTCTACCATGTGTAATCTGTGTGCTGCCCAAAGCTACCTTTTAGTACATCCTGTGTGCCGGGTACTGTGAGAAATGCTGTGTATAAATCATCTGATTACAACAATCCTTCAATGTGGATGGTAACTCCATTGTATAAATGAGGCAACTGAGGTTTGGAGACCTGTGTTGACTTGTCCCGGGATGTACGACTAGAATTTGCTCCCACGGAGCTGCCTCCTGGACGCTCTAAGCTCACTCCTTCACTACAGTTCCTCCTGCCAGGTACCAGCAGCCCCAGTAACGTTGCTGGAGATGTCCTGGGTCCCTTTGTACCCCAGCCGTGGAATCGGTTCTCCCTCGAGGTTGATGCTGTCCCTCGGGTCCTTGTGTATTTGTTCCTCCTATTGCAATACCAGTTCCCAGAGTCTAGATCGTGGGCCCACTTTCTGAATTAGCCTCTAGGCGCTTCTCCACCCAGCCTCCACACTGCTGCTAGTTGTATTGGAGAAGTACAGACCTAGCTCTGTCCTGTTTCCCCTTTCATGTGCTCTGTCGCTTCCAGGAAAAGCCTAATTCATGGCTCAAAGGGGCTTCAGCCAAGATGCTCCTGGTGTTTCCTGGAAGGGACCCTAATGGCGTCTGTGTCCAGGCCTTTATCAGGAGTACCTTGATCCCCTAGGGTTATGATGACTGTTTGACCTTCAAGACAGTGTTGTTATTGCCCTGGGAATCCCCCCATTCCACTGGCTCTTTTGAGTAGTGTATTTGAATGAATTTGTTTAAAGTTTTAACTTTATTTAGTTATTTTGAATAGACTGTATAGTCCATATAATTTTCAAATGCTATAAAAAGTACACTGTGAAGAGTAAATGTTTCTTAGTCCCTGTAATCCAGCAGGAGAAATCAACAGTATCTTTTTTTGTTTGTTTAAAATTTCTTATTCAGATTTTTTTTCCCTAGGTATGTACTGGTAAATACAGGCTTGGTAATGTTGAAATCCTTTGTATACGATTGGTAGGATCCCATTCATGCTGTTGTATACTTTTCTATGCAACAATGTTATCTTGAAAATCTAAACATAATAAAAATGCAGTACCTTTATTTTTTATTTAAAAAAATTTTTTTTTTGTACTTTAGGGAAAGGCCTACAGGGTGCTCAGGGTCTCACTACTAGATCAGACTTGTAGTGATCTGTCTATTTATAGCCTCCCAAGAAAAAAAATGCAGAATCTTTAAAGCTACTTGATATCATGTAAAACTTAGATGCTCTCTTCTCTCTCTCTTTCTCTCCATATATATATATGTATATTTTACACATACATACATATTTCACACATATGTATATTTTACTTATACATTGGTTCTCCATATCTCTGGGTTTCATATCTATGGAGTCAATCAACTGTGAGTCACGAATACTTACAAGTATATTTCATTGACATATACAGACCCTTTTCCTTCTTATCCCTTAAACAGTGCAGGGGGACAACTTTGTACATAGCATTTGCATTATAAGTCACCTAGAGGTTAAAGTGTATGGGAAGATTTGCATAAGTTCTATGGATTTGCATAAGTTCTATGCAAACATGATACCATTTTATTTGAGAGACTTGAATATCTCTGGATTTTGGTATACATGGGAGTCCTAGAACCAACCACCTGCAGATACTGAAGAACAGCTGTACACACAGACATAGGTGTGTGTGTATACTATATGTGTAGTACATAGCTCAGAGTAGAATAGTATTCCATTATATGGGTGAATCAAGACTTAAGCAGTTCCCTGTCACTCAGCAACATTCAACTCATTCCAGTCTTTTACTTTTGTACACACAAAGTGCACACTTCTGAGTGAGCAGTGTCATTGTGCACACTTACTAGTCTATTTGCAGGATAACTGTATGTACTGAGAGTTGCTTAAGGAGGATGTGCTTATTTCATTTAACGAAAATATTGACAAATTAACTGTGCCTGCAATGACATTGTGCTTTGTCACTTTGCCCTTATGCCTGTTCCCCCAGGGCCTTGATGGCCAGGTGCCTGAAGGCCTTGCTCATCTTTATGTCCAGAGCAGCTCAGAGCCTAGGGCCAGCACTAACCAGCCTTTGGGGGCAGTCAGAAGATGTTAATAATTGGTCCTTTTGTGGTGATTCACTGTACCTAGACTGATATGCTGAGCTAGCCTGCTGCTTGCCTAGTTCCAGCCTGTGCTTATCTGATCCAGTCTCTATCCAGTGGAAAAGCAAGCATGTACAAAGACAAAGATAACCCACACGGTTATGCGCACACATCACTCAAGTCTTGCTGCTCTTGGCAGTTTCCAGGGCATTGAGAGCAAGGTCCAGGCTCCTTACTGTGACCTAGTTAGCCTGGAATG